GCCAAACTTAACAATACTTTACTGGCACATTTGACATTTAATTTATGAGGTTTACGTCTATGGGTGAATTTGACTGCGGCAATGTTTCAAAATCAGGAAGGGAAGCAGTGATTATTTGATTATATAGACACTTCGTCACTGGAAACACGTAAAGGAGGATACACGCAAAATGTTCATAAAATGGCAATAGATGTGTCATAATGAAAAAGGAAGAAGTTGATGCATTTATCTAACACTTCTGAGTAAGAAAAAGTCCATCTAAATTCGTAAAAGATTGCGTTAGCAATAATACTTCATGCACACTGCGATCTGACCGGACGCTGGAACCATTCGCTCAGAGACCGGGCGAGTTTCACGGAATGCTCCTGTCCTCCACTCAGGGTTATAGAGTTCACTTAACCTTATTAGGCTATTATACACATAGACACAAAACACAAAAGCAGTACTCAGACTTCATCCTGGGACTGTCACAACTCGGCTTCTTTTTCACAGGCATTGATCCCAAAGGTTTTCCTGCTCTCCCAAGCCTTTCATTCCGTGGGTTGTCTGCATAGAGCTTCTGGGGTTTCTCATCAGCCCAAGCTGTTTTCACAGAGGTGTGAGATGAGCTGAAAGGCAAAAAAATAAACGGAAAAATTTGGTGAAGAAACTAAAAGCATAATCAATAAACAAACAGTCAAACACAGGTAACTCGAATTCGTTGGAGACTGGAAATAGTGTTTGAGATTTCCGTAATTCGTCATGTCCATGAAAGCCCCAAATACAAAGAAATAGAAAGAAAATTAAGGGGGGTAAAAAAACCCATTAAAGTAATTAACGTGGTTAGCTCCCTTGATGAATGTGTTGACGGTGTGAAAGCAAGAATATGAATGAAAGAGGAAAATAGAAAATCCCACATGTTCACAACCGACTCGTACATCATTAATTTCCTCTCATTTCATTGGCTTGGAGAAATGTACGCCTCTTGACGTTCACACCGAGCACATCCCACAGCATGATTGCACGCGAGGCGAGCCAGTCATGTGGTGCGGTCAGCATCATTCCCCAACCCACCTTCCCCGTCCCCCCTTCCTCCAGCCTCTCGTGGTGAGACAAGGACCACGTTTTGGCTGTAACAATAACAAAGAAACACCTACCCGCAGCTAGAAAGGCTGTAAAGTTGGGTCTTTGTTTGAGAATGCGAAGTGGATTTGTTCGAGATTCGAGTGTTGCGTGTTCCGAGTGTTCGGGAACTCCGTGAAGTCAATACAAAGAAAACATAGGAACTGAAGCGGGACCGAGCATTATGTTTGAGATACCGGAGAATTCGTGATTTTTGTGTTTGAGATTCGTGGACTCTACTGTATGCATGTGGGACAACATGGTGATATCTTGAGATTGTCAAAATAACTAAATCGAAAAAGCCCACATTTTTCTGCCTGTTGGCAAATTTTTATGAAACTTTTTTTCTGCCTCAACACCTTTAATTTAAGGGTCATTTGAAATCACATTTCTTTGTGGATTTTACTGAAAAATGTTGATCAAAAGCACAAAAAATGTAAATTGACAGTTTCTAAGAACACGCAAGTAAAACCTTGGTATAGTATAATATACATGTACCCTCTTTGGGCTCAAGATTTTTTAATGTCTTAGCCGAGGAAGGCTGCATAATATTAACTAAAAACAGTAAAAAATAGCCTACTAAATGGAACTAGGGGCTTTAGAAAAAGAATCTTATAGCGAATAGTATGTTTTAACCGTGTTCATTTTACCGAGGTATTACTGTATATTTATACAATATATGTTTAAATCAAATACAATACAAAATCCAAATAATCATAGTTCATTTGTTTTTCAGTCGTCCATATTCATAACTTTCAGTCAGTCATTTTCTCCACCCAGAAACAACTGTACATTTTTTAACACCATAGGTTTATATATAACTATAGCTTCATCTGTAAAGTTACGACGTTCGAATAGACTCATGACAGTACAACACTTAGTTAGCTAGTGATGGTATGTGCAATAATATAATTCTAATCTTTCACAGACTAGAACTGATTTTATTCACTCTCTTTGGTGCCAAGATGTCAGCCTAGGTCATCAGTGGTCTATTGAGCCTCCCCTCACTTCATGGATTGGCATTGCTTGGGCAGCGTGAGAGGGGAGCTTTCTAATTGAGCCAAACTTAACAATACTTTACTGGCACATTTGTGAGCTATTTTTACTTGCAGGAAGAATAGTTCAAAAACCGTTTCAAAGCCGGGCTCAAAGCATCAAACTTTCAAAAAAAATTGATGTTTATGAAGACAAATAAACCAAAATAAAAAAACGATATATAT